GTGCTCCCAGATTCTGGAACTTTAAAAGAAATCAGATCTTCCTATTTAGTTTATCAAGATCCTTCATTATATTAATAAAATTATGTCTCTCCTCAACCTCCTGTGTTCCAAGTAAAACACCCATAGCTTGTTCAGTCCTTTCCTTTAACTATAATCCTCTAGTTCAGGCAACATCTTTGTCAATTTCCTTTGTAATTTCTCAAGCACAACCTCATCTTTACTGTTGTGCGATGATCAGAATTGCACGCAGCAAACCAATTGTGGCCTTAATAGATTGTTTTTCAGGAACACAAACAAAGTTGCTGGAAAAGCTCAGCAGGTCTGGCATCATCTGTGAAGGGAAAAACAGAGTTAACATTTCAGGTCCAGTGACCCTTCCTCCGTTCTGAGCTGCGGTTTTCCAGCAACTTTGTTTTTGTTCCTGATTTACAGCATTCGCAGCTTTTTGGTTTTTATTTAGATTATTATTCAGTTCCACCATAAAGTCTTTGCTCTGATTTTTCAGTGTCACACTCAGTAAAATTCAAATGCATTCTTGACCACCTTAACAGCTTTTCTCACCCCTTTTGGAGATCAGGCGATGTGCACCCCCAAGTCCTGAACTTTTCTTTGTACTGCTTGGTATTTTAACATTTCTTGTATATTGTTAGCCTTCCCCAAATGTATTTCTTCACACAGGTCATTATTGACCTCCATCTGCCACGTGCTCATTTAAATAGTTCTTGAATGTCTAGAGGGTTCTCACCTCTTAGGCAGTGAGGCCCAGTTACTTGCAAGTTACTTTCACAACTGGAAAGTTAGTTGAAGAAGTGTATTTTTCTGGTCACTTTATTTTTTTCTATAAATCTAACTAATTTCCAGTAAAGTGCTCCCAATTAATACCTCTTCCATCTGATTTGGCTTCATTCCTAAAACTAAGTCCAGAACTGACCCCTCTCCTGTTGATTCTGAGAAGTTCTCAATGAATTTTAAGAATTCTGCCCCATTGATATCTTTCATGCTACTTTATTCTTGTTAATTCTGGATAGTTGAAATCTCCCTCCATTATTGTCTTATTTTGGCATTTCTCAGAGATTTGTCCTCATGGTTGCTCCTCTTCTCTTTGTGACTGCTTGTAGGTCTATTGTATGCTCCCAACAGTGCAATTGCCCCTTTTTGTGTTCTTCAGTTCAATCCATATGGTTGCATTTGACACACTTCCACCGTAATAGCCTTAGCATTTTAAAAAATGCTATGTTGTGACCCTTTTTTAATCTCCCTGAAACCAGTCTCGGTAAGAAATCAGAAGACCATTTCCTAAACATCATACATTTGAAGTATATGCCATTTAGCACCCCCTTGTTAGCTATTTTCAAGTCTTTGTTTCCTCTGCCTTGCAAAGACATGTACTAATTTTTCTCTTTGCCTTCCATTTATATCTTCTCTTTTTGTTTCTGAATCTACTTTCAGATTTGAGTTAGATTTTTGTTATCATGTACTGAGACACAGTGAAAAGTGTTGTTTTGCATGCTATACAGGCAAATTGTAATATACAAAGTGCATTAGCATACAGAGTACAGCCACAGGGAAGGAGCAGAGAGAGAGATCAACCTTAAGATTTGGGAGGTCTGTTCAAAAGCCTGATAACAGTGGGGAAGAGGCTGTCCTTGGGTCTGTTCGTACATGTATACAAACTTTTATACCTTCTGTACTACGAAATAGGATGGCAGAGAGTATAACTGGGGTGGGACTAGTTTTTGATTAGGTCCGTTGCTTTCCCAAGTCAACTGAAAGTATAGATGGATGGAAGGCTGGTTTGCATGATGGATTGGTCCGTGTTCATGACTATCTATCGTGTCTTGCAGTCTTAGGAAGAGCGTTGCCATACCACACTGTGATACATCCAGATAGGATGCTTTCTATGGTGCATCTATAAAAATTGCTAAGAATCTTTGTGGACATGCCAAATTTTCTCAGCCTCCCGAGGAGGTAGAAGCATTGTTGTCCTTTCTTGACATTGCATTGAGATAGGTGGACCAGGACAGATTGTTGGTGGCCTTCACTCCCAGGAACTTGACACTTTCGACTACCTCCAGCTCAGCACCATTGATGCAGGCAAGAGCATGCCGTCCACTCTGCTTCCTGAAGTCAATGACCAGCTTCATTTTGCTGACATTGATGGAGACATTATAAACTGAAAGAACTGCAGATGCTGTAAAACAAACAAAAACAGAAATTACTGGAAAAGCTCAACAGGTCTGACAGCATCTGTGGAGAGAAATCAGAGTTAAGGTTTCAGGTTGAGTGACCCTTCCTCAGAACGGGAGACATTTTTGCCTTTACACACGCTACTAAGTACTCGATTTCCTTCCTGTATTCTGTCTCGTCTTTTGAGATCCGACCTATAACAGTAGTGTTGTCAGCAAACTTGTAAATGGAGTTGGGGCTGAATTTGGCCACAGGCGTGAGTGTGTAAGGAGTATGTTGTCCTGAGTGCGAAAGGTGATTGAGATATACAAGGCTGGAGAAATAATGGGGAGCCAAGAATAGGCAGAGGTTTCGATAAATACTTTGCAGCGGGTACGCGGTAACATACTGGCATAGATAGAAGATTGGCTTGCTACAGGAAACGTAGAGAAAGTATAGGTGGGTCTTTTACAGGCAACAAAACATTGAGGATGATGTGCCGCAGAGGCAGGTGCTGGGTCTCAACTGTTTACAATTTATATGAATGATTTGGACAAAAGAATCAAAGATATAGTAACTAAATTTCCTGATGACATAAAGTTAGGTGGGAATGTAAATTGTGACAAGGGCGTAGGGAGCCTACAAAGGGATATTGGGGATATGTTAAGTGAGTGAACAAATATCTGGCAAATGGAGTGAAAAGTGAGAAAATGGTGAATTGTTCATGTTGACAGAATAAAAAAGCATTATCTACATGGTTGGAGGTTGCAGAGCTCTGAAATGCAGGGAGATCTGGGTGTCCTCATGCTTGAATCACAGAAGGTTAGTATGCAGGTAGAGCAAGTAGTCAGGAAAGCTCATAGAATGTTGTGTGATAGAATGGGAGGGGAATTGAATGCAACAGTAGGGAGGATATAATACCAGAGCATTTAGAGTACATAAAATGACTGAGTCAACATGGCTTCACAAAGGGGAACTCGTGCCTGACAAGTCAACTAGAATTCTTTGAGAGGGTAACTAACAGGATAGATAAAGGGGATTCTGTGGCTGTAATATGTTTGGATTTTCTGACCGCATTTGATAAGGTCCTATATATTAGGCTACTTAGTACGAGCCCATGGTATTGTATGTAGTGTATTAACATGGATAGAGGATTGGCTAACAAGAAGAGGAGAGTTGGGATGGGGATACTTTCAGAATGGCAAACTGTGACAAGTGATATGCCACAGGGATCAGAGCGAGGTCACGATTCTTGACAATATATGTTCATGACTTGGATGAAGAAAGTGAATATACTGTTACCACATTTGCAGATGACACAAATATAGGTGGAAAGGGAAATAGTGAGGATGATGTACAGTTTGCAGAGGAGTATAAACAGGTTTAATGAATGGGCAAAATCTTGGCAGATGAGATATAATATGGGGAATTGTGTGGTTATGCACTTCAATAGGAAGAAGAGAGGAGCTAAATACTATTTAAATAGAGAAAGATTGCAGAAAACTACAGAACCGAAGAATTTGGGAGTCTTCCTCCATGAATCATGAAAAGCTAACATCCAAGTTCAGCAGTTGATAGGGAAGGCAAATGGAATGTTGGTCTCTATATAAAAAGAATCAAGTATAGACACCTGAAATACTGTGAATAGTTGTGGTCTCCTAATTCAACAGTAGATATGCTGACATTAGAGACAGTTCAGAGAAGGTTCACTAGGCTGATACCAGATACGGAGGGACTGTCCTATGACAGGTTAGAAGAGGTTGATTTAGATTGGGCCTGTACTGTTGAGTATAGAAGAATGAGAGGCAACCTTGTATAAACATTCAAGGTTCTTGGGACTTGTTAGGTAACATACAGAAAGGTTGCTTCCCCTTTTGGGCTTGTCATTATGAAGAGTGGTTAAGGATTCTGTCTCTGTCCTCGATGGAGTTTAGAAGGATGAGGGGGATCTCATTGAAACTTGCAGAATACCGAGTGGCCTGGATAGAGTGGACGTAAAGAAGTTGTTTCCAGTAGTAGGCTAAGACTAGGACCTGAAGGCACTCTGAGTGAAGCGACAACCCTTTAGAGCCGGGATGAGGAATATTTTTCAGCCAGAGGGTGGTGAATCAGTGGAGTTCATTGCTCGAGGAGACTGTGGAGACCATGTCGTTGAGAGTATTTAAAACAGAGATAGGTTCTTGATTAGTAAGGGGATCGAGGGTTTTGGGGGAAAAAGGCAGGAAAGTGGAGCTGAGGATTGTCAGATTTCATTGAATGGTGGAGAAGGTTTGATGGGCTGAATTGCCTGCTTCTTTTATTAGACCTAGTGGTCTTTTATGTGCGATTATGGTAATTGATATGGAAAAGGAAGGCAAAATTGTTCCTTTTAAAATGGGGAGTATGAGTTTGAACTGGTAAGAAGTAATTTTGTGACAGTACAAGAAGGTGATTCCTCCTTCAGGTGGTGAGCAATGTTTTGACTTAACTTCTGGCTGGAGGGAAAATCTTGGAAACATTTGAAGAAACAGTACTGGTGACAATGATGGAGTGTATGGGATTGAAGTAGGTGGGAGCGTAGGTTTCTTCTGAATGGGTGAAGTAAGATGGGTTAAATTGCCGCCTTCGTCCATAAGTGGATGCAAATCTATATCCATCAATCCTAGCAAATCTGTGTGCTCCACAGTTGTGCTGTGTTGCCACATTTTTAACTAGAAGATTCCCTCAATTAAAACATACAAAGTACAGCAGAATGTTTCTGAATACGATATCTTCTGCTTATCTGTTGTTACTGTTTTATCAGACATAAAATTATCTTTGTTTTGAATTTTCTTGTTTTCGTCTTTTCTTTAAAGATCTGGTTACTCTTATAAAGTGGCAGTGGCCCTTTCATTATTCCTTGGATGGCTAGGAGCAGACCGATTCTACTTAGGATATCCAGCATTGGGCAAGTATAATTTAAATGTTTTCAAATGCCATCAGGCTATCTGGAAGTTAAATGCATTTGTAACTCATAAGACAACTAATTAAATTGCCCATTAATTAATGGTTTCTATATGGATCGTAAGGAAGTTTGTCAAAAGACAAAACTTTACAGGTTTCTTATTCTCATTTCATTGTCTAATCCAGTTTAGTCTGGAACCCATTCGAGTCTCGTCCACCTGCTGTTTCTAAATTTAAATTTGCTTAGTGGAGAAAATAAATGATAAAACATGTATGGTTTGCATTAGAATTTATAATTAGTGTATCAATTACATCATATCATAGTGAAATGTATTCCAAAGTGCATAAGGCAGGAAACAATTTCTGGAAATTGAAGTAATCAACCCAGGACACATTTGGAACATCTTCACACTATAAAACAAGGCTGTTTAGATTTTAATTTGGTGTAAATACCATAAAAGGCTTGTGATATTTCTCCCAGGATTTGATGTGTCTGCTGTGTATTGTCCATATTTCCAACACACATAGGACATTTGGTGACACCACAAGCCAACAGACCTTGAATTTGAAGTTTGAGGTCTTTGACTTCAACTAATGCTCTCCTCTGAAGCCTTCTGAGAAGACCAAAGACTGTGCTGGCACACAGTGGTGACATAGGTTTGTTATCAATGCCTGCCCTCGCTAAGGTGTTTCCACAGTATGAGAATTGATTCATGTTATCCAATAGCTCACCAATGACCTTGACAGGGGTACAACTTTGCAAGGTGGGAGCAATGTTGTCAAGGACTTCGATGTTTTGCCTAAAGCCCATTCTTTCGCATGCCTCAGTGAATGCATTGACGATGGTTTGGAGCTCGGTCCTCAAGCGTTCACGTACAACAGCTTCTGCATATTGCTGCTTGATGATGGAAGTTGAGGTGATGTTGGTTTTAGACTGGAGGCAATGTAGGTTGAACAGTTTCCCTTTCGTCTTGTCGAGAAACTCAGTTCAGGTCAAGAGCTTCATAATGTTGGGATAGAGTATTGTGGTGAGGAAAAAGGCGTTGGTGCAATTACAGTCTTGCTTGATTCCACTTTTCACTTGAATTGGGTCTGTAGATCCATGTATAAGGTTCACAGCTTCAATGTCAATCTTCCAGCAGGTTGACGATGGTAATAAATTTCTGTGGGCATCAAAATTTCAGGGAATTGCTCCCAGATGACCGAGGCAAAGGCCTTTGTAAGATCAAAGGTGGCCTCGAATAGAAGTTGCTGCTGCTGCTGCTCAACATCTGTTTCTTGAATTAGGCTTGCTGAGAAGATGACTTCCACTGAGCCTCTTGATCAACAGAATTAGGAATTCTTCAGCCATGGAGAGGAGGTGGTTGAACAGGATTCTTGCAATGACCTATCCCATGGCAGACAACACGGAGACCTCGCTGAAATTATCACCTTCTTTTCTTGATGAAAGTAACAACTTTGCTTCTGACATCATCCAGCATGCTTCTTCCTTCCAGATGAGTAAGGTGAGGTCATGTATTTGTACAAAGAGAGCTTCTCCAACACACTTTAATATTTCGATGAGAATTCCATCACACGTTAGCTTTATAGGTTCTCAATAATTGAATGGCTTTTTCAGCCGCTGGAGTTGTGCTGAGATGGTGGCAATTAACATCCTGTGGAATGTAGTCAAGGACAAGTCTTTGTTGAAGAGATCCTCAAAGCTCTCATTAGCAAGGGACTATTTCTTTGTCCGTGATATGTGCCATTCTGTTATTGTCTCTGGAGTAGATCCTTGAGTGGTTGGGTGGTAGGTGTTCTTGACCACACTGAGAATCCATGCATGTTGTGACTATTGACAAGTTGCTGGATTTCCGGTGCTTTTTCCACCCACCTCTTCTTGTCCTTTTTTTTTTTTTTGATGAATCTTGTGCTTCATTTGTCTGTAGACTTGCTTTGTTATCTTCACTTTTCGTGGTTTCCAGTTCAGAAACACTTCGTTCTTGCAATTTAAAGGCTGCTGGATCTCCTGGCCAATCTCATCAAACAATCTTGATTTTGAGAAATTGAGAGAATCTTCACACGATATGCCGTTTATAACGGATATAAGGGCAGACCAGTCACTGTGGACTTGATGTAGTTCCCATTTGTTGAACATTATCGGGTTGAAATATGAGGTGATGACTAAACAGTCTTTCTTCAGAGCCCTTGGGTCCATCCCATTGAGTTTCCTGCAGCAATGCCTATGTTCCTGCTGTCATTTTTCACTGCTGCTGATTGCTGCCCATGAAACAATGGTGTTGGAAACACTCAGGAAAATTGGCTAGTCTCCAGTGGGCAATGAGTGATCAAGGCTTGAACAGAATCCCTCTTTGGCCTCGACTGTGGTTTTACACTTGGAGCATGCACTCTGATAACTGCGGTGTACTGTTTCTGGGTTAGGGTGAGCCAAAGCTTTCCTGAAGAAGGTGTATTCACCACTTTATTCTTTGAGTTGACTGTCTGTTGCCCACCATATCATTGCTCAGTGTTAAAGAGCTTCAAACAATAGTTGATATGGAAACAGTTAAAGGGTCAAAGAAGGCAAAGGCATTATTCTACAAAATCCATACTGGGATGCTGCTTGATGGTGATCGCTTGGTAAAATAAGATCTTTTTAGTGTTCTTATACAGTATACCATTGCTCACGTGACCATAACAGTAAGAGACTTACTGTATTTATGTCTCATTTGAAAATTCCAGTTGAGATAAATGCATTCCATTGTAAGGCTAATCAGGCTCCTGCTGTGCCCATGTTCCATGACCATGGCCCTTGCAAACGCAACTGATTTCCAGTTACAACAATTATCTGTTAATTACAGCCCAGTTTGGGTTTCGCCAGGTCCATTCAGTTCCCTACCTCATTACGGCCTTGGTTCAAACATGGGCAAAAGAGCTGAATTCCAGAAGTGAGGTGAAATCAAGGCTGCAGTTGACCAAGTGTACCATCAAGGAGCCCTAGCAAATCTGGAACCATTGGGAATTGGGGGCAAAATCAGGTGGTTGGAGTCATACCTGATAGATAGGAAGATGGTCGTGGTTGTTGGAGGTCAGCCATCTCAGTTCCAGGACATGTCTGCAGGAGTTTCTCAGGGCAGTGTCCTCGGCCCAACCATCTTCAACTGCTTTATCAATGACCATCCCTCATCATAAAGTCAGAAGTGGGGATGTTTACTGATGATTGCACAATGTTCAGCACCATTTGCGACTCCTCAGGTACTGAAGCAGTCCGTAGTCAAATACACAAGATCTGGATAATATCCAGGCTTGGGCTGACAAGTGGCAAGTGACATTCATGCCACACAAATGCTAGGCTATGACCACCACCAATAAGAGATAATCTAACCACCACCCTTTGACATTCAGTGGTGTTATCATCCATGAATGCCCCACTGTCAACATCCTGGGGGTTATCGTTGACCAGAAACTCAGCTGGACTCACCACATAAACATAGTGGCGACAAGAGCAGGTCAGAGGCTAGGAATACTGCTGCAAGTAATGCAGCTCCTGACTCCCCAAAGCCTGTCCATCTACAAGGCACAAGTCAGGAGTGTGATGGAATACTCCCCACTTGCTTGGATGAGTGCAGCCCCAAAAACACTGAAGAAGCTTGACACCATTCAGAGCAAAGCAAGCCACTTGACTGGCACTATATCCATAAGCATCCATAAGCATCCACTCTCTCCACAAACGGCGCTCAGTAGCAGCAGTGTGTATTATCTAGAAGATGCACTGCATAAGTTTTTCAAAGATCCTCAGACAGCACCTCCCAAAACCACAACCACTTCCATCTAGAGCAACAAGGGCAACAGATACGTGGGAACACCACCACCTTCAAGTTCCCCTCCAAGCCATACACCATTCTGACTTGGAAATATATTGCTGTTCCTTCGGTCGCTGGGTCCAAATCCTGGAATTCCCTCCCTAATGGCATTGTGGGTCAATCCCCAGCAGGTAGACGTCAGTGGTTCAAGAAGACAGCTCACCACCACCTTCTCAAGGGCAACTAGAGACAGGCGATAAATGCTGACCAGCCAGCGACGCCCACATCCCACAAATCAACAATCTTCTACTTTTACATACATTGTTGTGATTGCTCATCGAACTTCAGTATGCAGATGGCAATGTCATCTCTGCACTGTCAGAAGAGAATCTTGAATCACCATTTAATGCCTTAGCAGAAGCATACGGAAGGATTGGTCTCAGCCTCAACCCCAATAAGACTAAGGTCTTTTATCTACCTATCCCAGGGCAAGTTCTGTCCATCCCTCAGTGAGGTCAACAGGGAAATCATCACAAAACATGGCACATTTCCCTACCTGGCAAGCCAACTCTCATCAGTGAGAGACCCAGTACCACATACAATCTGTGAGCACCACCTTTGGATGCCTATAGATGTGAGTCTTCAAGGACTGTGATATCTGTACTGATGCTAAGACACTGGTGTATGAGGCAGTCATCTTTCTGACTCTGTTATATGGCTGCAAAACTTGGACTATGAACAGACACCACCTCAAGGCCCTGTGAAGTACCATCAATGCTATTTGTGACAGATTCTCTGCATCAGCAGGGAGGACAGGCATTCTAACATCAGCATACTTGAAAGAGCTAATAGCGCCATCATCAAGACCATGATCATCTGAAACCAACTGCACTGGGCTGGCCGTATGTTTAGGATGCCCGAGATCCAATCCAAAGCTAATCATTCTTGCACAGTTCAAGAAAGGCATTGAGCAAGAGAGGGACAACGGAATCATTTCAAAGACTCCCTGAAAGCTTCCCTCAAGAAATGCAACATAAGTTTAGACGTCAATGTATGGAAGACCTTTGTTCAGAAGAAACCAACTTCAAGGAACCTCGTGTGAACGGACACAATTCTTTGAGAATTCTGGCAAGAGGAAGTATGGAAAAGGAAACGGAGGAAGGAATGCCGTTGATTTCAAGGCCAAGGACCAAGTCCACTTTCTGGAAACACCTACCAAATGTGTGTTCAGAGATGGGGCTGTAGGATGGGGCTCATTAGCCACTCAAGGACCCATATGACCAGTGACACAGAATTTCTTAGATGGACATTCATTCTCATAAGTGAGTGTTTGCCGACAACAATGTGATTATTTCTTTCTGTTTCAAGATTCTCTGTTTACAGTCATTATTTCTTAGCGTTTTCTGAGTCACCACCAATGTGCATTAGTGTGATCAGGTTCCCTTAATGGTTTTAAAACAGGTCCCCTTAATGATTTTAAAACAGGTTTCCGTTCTATTCAGGCAATCATTTCTCTAAGATTAAACAACTACCTGCTTTGCACATATTGTAATGGTCCTGTCTTCCTTTGTAATTTTGAGCAGTTCTCTATTTTGAATTAGTCAAAAATGTCCTGACCCCTTTCAATGCCTACAGCCATGCGTCACCCCTATATCAAGCTGGCAATTAACTTCTTTATCTTTACCTCATTTTACTCAAGGCAGTATGGTGATGTCATGTGCTAGAATTTCCCTGTTAAGATAACTTTGGAATGTTGAGGCCTTGCTGAGGTTGTCCATGAGAGTCCTGATATTCATTTCGAGACACTGGAAGATGCCTGTATATCGGTCCTTTTAACATGAAGTCGCATTGCACATTGATTACCACACCATTTGGCAGAGGAAGGCTTTTTGTTCACTAGCAGGGAAAATCTAAATAATTGTAGACTAAGCTCCATTCAGTCGGCATAGTCGAATGTAATGCTGCCCTCACGACACACAAACCCTTCCCCCACAACCAGTACAATAACCCCAAGAACCAGAAATCCCAGTATTGCTCGGCCTTTACAGAATGTGCATTGTCTGAACATCCATAAATCATTTTGGGATGAAGTGGCTTCTTTTTATGTTAGTCATACCAGAGATTCACTAGGTCTTCAACAGCTAACATATACAAGGTGCCATCAGACAAGGTAGATCATTGGAGTGGAGGAGTGAATCTCCAAATCCAATAGCCTTATTCATTTGGTTTGGAAAAACCATTCTTTCAAGGTTAATTATGTTGGTGATTTCATTGTAATTGCTCATTCAAATCTATTATAAATTGACGGCAGTAGAGTTTATAAACTTTATGCATTAAGCAAACAAAATAGCAGATGCAACATTTTCTATTTTGCCTTGTTTATTTGTTGAATACTTCAAACATTTAGGTTATTTTCTGACTAGATAATTCTGTAACTTCATGGTCTGGCACATTGCCTACTGTTTCAGTTGGTAGGCTTGAAGATTTCTCGACCTCAATATCAAATGTAGACAACTTTTGCTATGGAATAAGGCAGAAACACTATGACAAAATTCCTTGCATGTTAACACAAGGCAACCCAGAAACACAGTTATTGTTCCACAACCAATTGGTCAGAGTGACCAATTGATCCTACCACACATGAGATAAGAATGGTGTTGGAAATCTGGGTAGCTGCATTAATGTGTACCTCCTCAGTATGATGGAGCCTGGCATCTGAATAA